AAAAAAAAAAAAAAAAAAAACCTCATCAAAAAGGTGGACAAAAGATATGAAAAGACATATCTCAAAAGAAGACATTTATGTGGCCAACAAATGTATGGAAAAAAAGCTCATCATTGTCATTAGAGAAATGCAAATCAAAATTACAATGAGATACCATCTCATGCCAGTTAGAAGCAATCATTAAGAAGTCAGGAAACAACAGATGCTGGAGATGATGTGGAGAAATAGGAATGTTTTTACACTTGGTGGGAGTGTAAATTAGTTCAATCATTGTGGAAGACAATGTGGCAATTCCTCAAGGATCTAGAACCAGAAATACCATTTGACCCAGCAATTCCATTACTGGGTATATATCCAAAAAATTATAAATTACTGATGAGTTCATGTGCTTTGCAGGGACATAGATGAAGCTAGAAACCATCATTCTCAGCAAACTGACACAAGAACAGAAAACCAAACACTGCATGTTCTTCTCACTCTTAAATGGGTATTGAACAATGAGAAAAAACGGACACAGAGAGGGGAATATCACACAGCAGGACCTACTGGTGGTTAGGGGCCAGAGAAGGGATGGCATTAAGAGAAATACCTAATGTAGATGATGGGTTGATGGATGTACAGCAAACCACCATGGCACATGTTTACCTATGTAGCAAACCTGCACATTCTGCATATGTATCCCAGAACTTAAAGTATAATAATAATTTTAACAAAGAATCACACAGTTGGAGCACTGAAAGGAACTTCAGGGAATATCCTATCTAACCCTCTTCTCTATCCATGAATAGCAATAAATCCAAAGTTTTCTCTAAGTTACTCAACATTTATCCCACATATATTTAGTGAGAATTTATTGTCTGCCAAGCATACATATGGTAGGTGCTGATGGTGCCCATATTAATACAAGAGCCAGCAATTATTTTGGATTTTTAAATTTTTTTAATGGTGTCAGTTATTCAAGAAATTCTTAACAATATCGTTAAGAAAAAGGTAGTTTTTCTTACCATAGATTTTCCCATTAATGGAACATCTTTTAAAGGTCATGATGTTTTGAGTGAGGGTACCCGTTTTGTCAGAGAAAATGTACTCAATCTGTCCCAGTTCCTCATTGAGCGTGGTCGTTCGAGCCTCTGCAGGTGTTGCTTTTCGAGAGTAATACATCTTCCGGTCCCAGTTTATAAAATAGCTATGTCCCAGACGAATTACTTCCACACTGTCATCCATTAAAATGGGGAAAAAAAAAAGAAATGCTGCATTAATTTCAGAACATACACTGTTTTGCCAAAATAAGAAGTCTACCAAAGTTTTCAGGGCTTAGAAGAAAATGTGGATTTTCCTCTAAATGTGTATTTAGAGGAAGATCTGTCCCTAGGTCCCAGTGATCTTCAGAATCTTCTTAACAGATTCTGGCAAACCAAAAGTTCTGTTCATAAACCTTTCCAAGTCATTTCCTGCAGCATCATAAAAAAATAAGCCAGCTTAGGATAAAGGTTAGGGAATGTTTCATGGTTTGCTACATTAAGCAGGCGCAGGGGAGATTTACTGTGTAGCATATAAGTTTGTGTCTCCTCCTATATGATATGGCAGTAGTCCCAATCTTTTTGGCACTGGGGACCAATTTTGTGGAAGACACTTTTTTCACAGATCAGGGGGAAGGGGGATGATTTCAGGATGATTCAAGCACATTACATTTATTGTGTACTTTATTTCTATTATTACATTGCAATATATGATGAACTAATTATACAACTCACCATAATACAGAATTAGTGGGAGCCCTGAGCTTGCTTTCCTACAACTAGACGGTTACGTCTGGGGTTGATGGGAGAAAGTGACAGATCATCAGGAATTAGATTCTCATAAGGAATGCGCAACCTAGATCCTTTGCCTGCGCAGTTCACAATAGAGTTTACACTCCTGTTAGAATCTAATGCTGCCGCCACAGATCTGACAGGAGGCGGAGCTCAGGCAGTAACGCATACTATGGGGAGAAGCTGTAAATACAGATGAAGTTCTGCTTGCTAGCCCACCACTCATCTCCTGCTGTACCAGTCTGTGGCCTGGGAACTGGGGAATCCTGTGGTAGGGGAAACTAATTATTCTTAAAGATATCTGTTAGATGTATGATCTAAAGAAATGTGTTGTTGAGAACTTTCTCTCCAATACACTGTTTGATATGGCTTCACATCAAACAAAAGACAGAAAATAATATTTCCATGAACCATGAACCCAAACCATAACAGATACTGGGTAAAAACAGGAGTGTGTTGTCATACCATTGCACCCAATCACCATGAAAAGAATATTGTGTCACATTCTAGTAATCATTTATGACTTTCCAGCTCCAGAAGCAGAATTTCTGTGGCAAACTGTATGAACTCTCTCAATGTCAATGTCATACATAATGCCAAAGAGATTTCTAAAAACATCATAAGAACATAAGTTTCAATCATCAAATTATTAAGAATTATCTTCTACCAATAGCAAGTTCAAAAGGTATGTCACTACTGATTACTGCATTTTTTAATCAATGAGTTTAACAATTTTTTCAAATTTTATTGGCCAGTGGCATTTCTTCTTGGAATTATCTAGTTGTATCTGTCTATTTTTCCTGTTTTGCTATCAGTGCATTTATTATTGATTTGTAAGAATTCTATACATATTAAATCTATTAATTCTGCCAAAAAAACAATGCAAACATTTTATCCAATTTATCATTTGTCATTTTTCTTTTTTTTTTTTTTTGAGGTGGAGTTTTGCTCTTGTTACCCAAGCTGGAATGCAATGGCATGATCTCAGCTAACTGCAACCTCCACCTCCCAGGTTCAAGTGATTCTCTTGCCTCAGCCTCCTGAGTAGCTGGGATTACAGGCATCCACTACCACACCATTCTAATTTTTATATTTTTAGTAGAGATGTGGTTTCACCATGTTGGTCAGGCTGGTCTTGAACTCCTGACCTCAGGTGATCCATGAGCCTTGGCCTCCTATAGTGCTGGGATTACAGGTGTGAGCCACCACACCTGGACATTTGTCTTTTTTTTTTTTTAAGAGATGGTGTCTTGCTATGTTGCCCAGGTTGGCCTCAAACTCCTGAGCTCAAGCAAACCTCCCACCTCTGCTTCTAGAGTAGCTGGGACTGCATGCACTGCCACAGGTGGCTGATTGTCTTTTCATTTTGTTTCCAGTTTTTTGATATGAAGTTTTCTCTTTCTAGAGGATCAAATTTACCAAATTTTACTCTGTGTTTTTGTAGTTTTGTTTAGATATGCCTTCTCTATGCCAAGATTATATAGACATCTATATTTTTCTTTTTGTTTTTATTGATTTTTTTCCATATTTAATTCCTTATCCCAATTGAAATTTATGATTGAAATTAAAAGTTTGATGTACATGATGTATATGAGGAGAAAATTTCATGTTTTCCAAATAAGATTTTTCATCACTATTTGTTGAACAATGAATCCTTTCCCCATTAAACTATGATGCTTTCTGTGTCACAAATAAATTATTATATTCACTAGCATCTGATTTATGGATTTCAATTTTATTCATTGCTATGACACTTAATACATCTTGTTTTCATTATTGTAGCTTTATAATAACTGGCAATACCTAGAAGAAACAAAAGCACCTTTATTCTCTTCCTTTTAAAAAATTCTTAACTACTAATTTATTTTTCCTGATAGATTCAATGTATTCATCTAAGTAAACATTTGAATCAACGTACTAATTTTGATATAAAATTTATTGGCAATTTTGATTAGGCCTATGTTAAACTCTTAATTATTTGAAAAGAACTGATACTTAATAAATTTCAATACAACTTCAAGGAGAAGGTTAAATCTTTTTAAGAATTCCGTTTTTTAAAGTACCTCAATTAGTAAAGAATTTTAGTTTACTTTAGTTTAGTTTTGCTTTCTTTTTCACATAGGATCATACTATAGCCCCGCAGATTTGTTCTTGAACATCACAGTCATCCCTCGAATCCGTGGGGGATTCGTTATAGGACTTTCAATCTGAGGATGCTCAAGTCCCTTAAATAAAATAACACCGTATTTGCATATAACCTATCCATATCCTCTTGCATACTTTAAGTCATCTCTAGATTACTTATGATCCCTAATACAATGTAAATGCTATGTAAATAGTTATACCATATTGTTTGGGAATAATGACAAGAAAAAAACTCTGTACATATTCAGTACAGACACAACTCTCCTTTATTTTTTTCAAGTATTTTCCATCTATGGTTGGTAGAATCCATAGATGCAAAACCTATGGATACAAGGACAGAGTATAAAACTTTCTATTGATAGGATAAGTTGTAAAATTGTTGTCCTAAAAGAAAGCTTTTAATTTTTTAATGTTACTTTCATAATCAGACACAACTAAACTACCCTACTGAAAGTTTTACAGATTATTCTTATGGACTGTCTAGATTTACTGTCATATTATTGTCTGTGTTCTTCCTTTCTAATAGGTTTATTTCAGTTTCATGTCTTATTTTATTCATGGATATTTCAGTTTCGTGTCTTTGTACTTTAACAAGGATATCAGAACAGTAAAAAATACTTATGTTAATAGCAGGGACCATAACTTATTTCTGATCTTAGTGGAAATTAAGCCTTGGTTTTTTTCTCATCTCTAACCTGAGAAAGTTGGGCTAGATGACACTCAAATCCTTTCTGATTATTAAATTCTGTTTCAGTTTCTAAAAGTACATGACATACCTATGTTTCCCTCCCCAAAAGTGGTATGGTGCCAATTCATTTTTTAACTATTTGAATGGTAGCACATTTTTTCTCCCTAAAGTTACACTGTGACTATGTAGAGTATCATACGATATTAAGATATATAACTCACACTCTTTATTTATTTACATATTTTCATGTATGGCTTACCCTTCCACATCCTCCCCATGCCCGATCCCCGCCCTCCATGTAAATTCCTTGCTAGCTGGTCTGATTCGGCTTTATTTTCTTTATCCCCTTCACTCAAAAAGCATTAGCACTTATAATAGGCTGGAGTAGTGTCTTGCCTGTCAGGGGCAGCCAATCAGTGTTCAATGTGTGAATTTCAACTCTTTAGACTCTAATTTCACCAATAAGGACATTAAGACTTAGAGAGGTAAAGTGACTAACCCAAGGTCACATCAGTAATTAGCAACAGAGCCAAGACTAGAATTCAGGGATTTGGTAAAGCCAGTGCAGACCAGGGCTTAAGAATGGCATTATGAGGGTCATAATACAAATCATGAAGTTTTTTATTTATCTGAAAGTCTAGTAGCTCCTTGTAATCTTAAAGCAAAGTGAATGACAGATCACGATTGTTCCGTGTTATAGTACAAGCCAATGGAACTACAGCTAGTGCTCGATTTACGACCACAATTGGGACCGGCAGACCGGTCATAGCACGGTTTGGTCATAAGTTGAGTAGGCTACATGTACAGTTGAAATGGTGCACGCGGAGATGGTAGTGCTGCCGGAAGCTGGTCCGCACTGTCGTACGCCCAGCTGGGCAACGTTTGCACTGCCAGACACGGAGCAGTCGTGGCTAGCAATTGTGGTCATAAAGCCGAATGGTCGTAAGTTGCATAGGTCGTAAGTCGATCAATACCTGTATTCAAAATTTATTCAAATTCCTAAAACTGAAGTCTGAAGAGAAAATGGGCATCATTTTTGTTTGGGAAAAGAGGATTCAGAAGAGTCACAGTGGGACATTCAGCTCTATTACAATAGCACAGAAAAGGAGAAAAATATTCAGAGTTAGCACAATCAGGCCGCTTAGTGTTTTCTGCCTGAATACTCACAGAAAAGAGCTTATAATTTCACCCAGTCTCGGGCAAAACAAACAACATAGGAATGAGCTCCTATCACTTTGGAAACAACACTCAAAAGCTAATTCCTTGGGAAAATATGGCTGCATTTCTTAAAATGGTGTATTTTAAAAAACAAAACAAAAACTGTAGCTGGGCATACCTTAACACAATGGATAAACAAATTGACATATAGAAAAATCCTACCAGAATAAATGTCCCTTGCTCACCTGGAATTGTTAATAATTCAAAGCAAATACTGCATTTCTATCCTCAAGTGACATATGGCACTAATTTACTCTTTGTACCTATTCAAAAGACTAATGGAAGCTTTGGCAGAAGGTCTTTACCATTCCATACAGAAACGCCTGGGAGTTCTCTGTTTCTATGTCTCAATCTTTTGGACTGAATAACCCGAAATTCCTTGAAATGCTTTTTCCCTCAAGTTAAGACCAGAATCACTGTACTTATTTGGTGAGAGAAAAGCTCTCATTTATCTTCATCAATACCATGCTCTAGACTATTTTTTTTTCTTTTGACTTCTTCACTGAGTAATAAATCACATGTAGCTTAGAGATAGATGAAAACACAGTCCCAACTCTGAGAAGACTTAGTTTTGGATCATGCTTCTGCCCCTCATTAGCTCATAATCCTGAGCAAATCCTCTCATCATTTTGAAAGCAATTCAGGAAATCCTACTTCACAAGATTATTGGGCAACATAAATGAAATAAAGTACACAGAAGCATAAAAGGCTAAAAATAGAGAAAAGCATTCATATGGTTTTTTAGGGCATCATATTTTATGGTATATTATACAGTATCAGTCATTTTGAAAATTATAAAAAAGAATTCACAAGAAAGCAGTTTTTAAGTGATAAAGTGTTATGCTAATATCAAATATATATATGTATATATATATATATATACATATATATGTTATTGAAAGGTAAGGTAGTATTATTTGATAAAGTAACTCAGAAATTAATTCTTTTAATCCCCTTATTTTCTGGAGAAGCACATATGTGACAAGCAAACTAAGGCACAGAGAAGCCAAGTACTTTCTCCAAGGTCACACAGCTATTAGTAGCAGTACCAACACAAGAAACAGGGTTTGGACTATTACAAATAGGTTTTCTGTCTACCATAGCACATTAGATGTATAAGGAATGCTAACCTGAGAATCTACCTTTGATCTCTAAAAAAAATCAATCTTTCAAATCATTAAATGAAAATGCGAATGTACTTCAAAGAAAGAATGTATACAGAATATACTTCCTTCGTGAGGACATATGAAACTGCACATGTGCAGATGGTAAGCCACTATGCACATTTATTACTCATTTAGGACATAAAGGAATGCTGTAAAAGCTTACTGTAGCTCTTCTGGCAAAGAGTAGGATTTACTACAGACTTTATAATTGGATACAAGCATGACAGGTTCTCAGAATCAAAGATGAGCCAGTAGGAGATAGTTTAAATAGATCCCTCACTGACCACAGCTCCAGAGGGCCCAAAGCAATTTGTGGTATTGTGGCCACATGCCACTAAAGCAAGTCAATTTCCCACAATTTGGCATTTCAGTTTCCTGACCACTATCCAAAACAAGGATGGATTTTGTGATTAAACTTGCCTCACTTCATCATGGCTAGGTTTTTAAAGAGAGATAAAAAGAGGCTCATAAAAATTAGCGGGTGATTTAGAGCTGATGATTTTGTGTATTGCTAAAGTACTGATGATGAGAACTGTCAAACAACCAAGTCCCATCTTGGCTCCAATGTTTTTGGGACAGTCTGGCTCAGTCTTGTTAGATTAGGATCAAGAATGTCCCAGGTACAGACTCTAGGGCCAATTTCTAAGCCTTATCAAATACACACACACACACACACACACACACACACATATTCATATTCATATTCATATACATGTATATAAATAGAGAGGGGTGTGTGTGTGTGTGTGTGTGTGTGTGGGCGCGCGCAGGTGCATGTGTTCTGTTTGTATGTGTAGAGAGACAGAGAGGCAAAAAGAGAGACCATCTTAGCTCTAACTTATGGAACCAAATCTAGTCCTAACAGATCAAATTGTAGTAGAAGTTATAAATCATACTTCTTATCTTACAATAGACAAGCACCACCTACTATATTTTAACTCCTTTACATACTCACTTATAGTTACTAATAATAACAGGAAAAGCTAGTATTCATTAATCTTTTATAATGTGTCAGGAATTCTTAGAGCTTTGTAGGTATATATTCATTCCTCATACAATCCTATGAGATAGAACTATTATTTTTTTCTTCTTTTTTTTTTTTTTTT